GAAAAAAAAAAAGCAAAAAAATTTCAGGATGGAAAAATTCCTTTCAGTTGAGTTTGCTTAAGTTTCTGGATAGAATATTAGCATATAAAAATCAGCAGAGTTCCCAGTAATAGTGAACAAACATAATAGAAAAAAAGGTTAGTCACAAAATTACAGAACATGTAGGGAAAATACTTAACAAAATATGAATAAGACTTTTATGGAGCAAGATACGACAGCTGTTATTGAAGGACTAACAAAAGATGAATAAATAAAGAATCACACCATCTTGGGATAGAAAGATTCAACAGGATAAATCAGTGCTTTCTAAATGTTCCCATAAATTTCATGTAATTCCAAACATGAATAGTATTTTATGGAATTCAACAAGTTGAGCCTCAAATTCGCAAATGACCAGGGGGAGCCAAAACAACTTTGACTACGATAGGTAAGATGATTTCCCTTCACAAGTCTCAGGGATTATTAGAGTCATAATAATTACTGAGGTCACGGCACAGGGACAGTCAGACCAATGGAGCAGAACATGGACCCAGACACAGAGCGACACATACATGGAAACTCGAAACATGACAGGTGGAACGGCAGGCCGTGGACAAAGGAGACATCCCTGGACAATCAGAAGAGAGCGATTTAATTGTTTCCCTCATCATTGCCGCACCAGTCCCACACTCATCAGATCGACAATAATTAGACACTGCCAGTCCCGGTGAGGATGTGGAGCACAGGCATCGGCCTCCCAGCAGGAGGATAAACGGGCACCACCGCTTTAGTAACACTGGAAATACCAAACCCCTGAAAAACATTCTACAGAGATTGGATAAAAGTAAAATATTAACTTTTAAAAGAAAATAAAAGACACAATCTCAAAGTCTTCTGAGCAGAAAAGGTTTCTTGAACAGAAAAATAAAAGCAAGAATCAGGAAGAGAATGGTATTATTAATATAGGTCAAAATAAAAACCTTTCTGTGTTACAAAGGACAACATACAAGGACAAAAACAGTGGAGGGACAAATTTGCAACACAATTGACATGGGTGTAACTGTCAAGAAGTTATTTTAAAAAACACTTACAAATCAGAGAAAGAAAGATGGGAGGGAGGGAGAGGGAGAGGGAATCAGAATCTGCATAGTGTATGAGCAGGCAATTCATAAACAAGAAAACAACTGGCCATTAAGTATGAAAAGATGCTAAACTTTAGGAGTGACTAGAGAAATGCAAATCAAAATTATCCTGAATTACCATTTCCACACTCATCGGATTGGCAATAATTAAAAACTCTCTCAAGTATGGACATGGAATAGGGACTGCTCTCATACACACCTGGCAGGAGTGCAAACTGGTGTGACCACTCGGGACGCTGCTGGAAATATCCAGTGAAGTGGAAAAGGTGTGTAGTCATGCCCAGCACTTCCACTTTCAGAGATGTCCTTTAGAGGCACTGCTCCATGTGTGCGACAGCCTTCTTTGTAACAGCAGAAAATATAAGAAGTTAAAGGCCCATCAATAGGGGAATGAATAAGTAAACCACAATACAGTCTATTTAATATATGCAGCAGAAAAAATAAGTGAACTACAGGTATACATATTAACATGCATAAATCTCAAACGTAAGATTGAGCAAATACTAAAGTGCAATATGATGCACGGAGCATGATAACACTCACTAAAATGGCGAAAACCCACGAAACAGTGGTGTATGTTATGGTTCTACACAAATGTAGCAATATTATAAAAATCATGCTGAGGAATGGAAAATACCAAAGTCAACATCATGTTAACCTCTTGCATAGGAGAGAGGGAAATAAAATCATGGAGGAGATAAAGGTGGTTTCAATTCCACCTGTACAGTTTTATAAAATATATAAAGCCCAAGCAAATATGGCAAAATGATAATATTTCTAGCATCTGTGTGGGTGGCATGTATTTATGTTGAATAATTAAAAAGTTTATTGGAAAGCTACAAAATATTAGATATATTAAAATATTAACTCCATACCAGAAAATCTGATTACAAAATAAATGTTTTTTAAATGATCTAAACAACTTGATTTCAGTATTGTGTTATAAATACACATGAAAATATGATAAAGTAGTAATTGGACATCATGGGATAACAGGACAATTTACAACCCTTTACTTTTTTCAAGTTTCTATAATGCACACATATTAATAAGCAGAAAAAATGTTTTAAATTTGAACTTCCACCCGTGTCTTAAAATAATTCAGAAAGGATTCATGTTACAAGTAGTCCCAATTACACAAGGCTGGTAGCTTTCCCAGGCTCCAAATGATGGCTGGGTTACACCAGAATATTTTGTCATTATTTGCACATTGCTATGTGAATGTAATAGCTGCCTCCTTTCTCAGGCTGGTTCTCTATAAAACAGACCCTAGAGATAAGCTTACCAGCTAATGCTTCACCGGGGGAATCCCAGGCTGAGGGATGTTAGCATGATGGGGGGAAACTCGAAGCCAGCGCATTAGAAAGCTGACCAGGATTTCATGCAAATCATTGCTCATACCTTCAAGAGGTTTCTGGACAGACTGCACAGACTCCCCCTGGGGGAAAGCTGACCAGGGGAAGACTGGGGAATGGTTCTACCAGCCACACCTTACCTCTCATGGACCAAAGTTGGTCTGAGGGATATGAACTCCTAGCATGCTAGGTTCCAGACTCTGAAGCAGCTACATTCCGTAGTGCTGCACTGCACCTGGGCCAGAAAGGAAGGCAGGAATTGACGCTTTGATGTTCTGGCGCACCAGCCCTGGGTGCCAGGTGCTGTGGCTGCCATGAAGCTGTTAGTAGTGTTGGGAGTGGCAGTGTAGTGGCTGGGGCCACCCAGGAAGGAGCTGCCTGCCTGGGCCAACCTGGGCAGGTATGCTAAGAGACCCTGCGTGTCAAGCCCTCATGCCACACAGAGGCACTTGCACTTCTGTGGCATCCCACGTGAACACGCTGAGGACAGGATGCCCTCATTTTCCCCCAAAGAGGAAGTGCAAATCCAGTGTCCCTGCAAACTATATTCTGAAAAAAAGTGGGAGCCTTGGCCTAGACGATTTACAAAGGGCTCCCTCTTCTTCCTCAGCACTATGGAAAGGATATCCTGGCTTCACCATCCTGTTTACCGGAGGCCAGCATCTGGGAACCATCCAGGAAGTCATCAGCCTGGCTCCAAGTCGCCCTCACAAAAGGATCCAACCCTAAGTCACAGGTAAGTGCTCGACGTCCCAAATTTCCTATATCTAATCTTGTATTTTGTCCTGCTGTCGGGAAAATGCTATCAAGCAGCATCACACGCTGGAGAAACTGTCTATAAAAGCAGTCACTCAGTGTAGCAAATTTTACTGTCTTATATGAAGAAATTGCCACAGCCACCCACCCTTCATTATTTAGCAATAAAGTACTTTTAAATTAAGGCATGCACATTGTTTTTTAGACTTAACGCTATTACACTTAGACTACAGTATAGTGTAAATATAACTTTAATATGCACTGGGAAACCAAAGTTTCATCTGACAGGCTTTACTGTGACATTCACTTTACTGTAGTGGTCTGGAACCCAACCCCCATTACCTCTGAGCTCTGCCTGTACTTTCTCAAGCCAACGCTGTCTGCCTCTATCCAGGTCTCTTTCCACAATGTACCCTGAACTACAGGGCATCTACCATTACAAAAATTTGAATTAAAAGACAGCAATTGGTTACAAAACAAATTTTGAGGTTGGTGGGAAGGCATGGTGATGGTAACCATGCACTGATCTGATGTCAGAATAATAACTCGAGTTTTCTTTTACAGGAGAATACTTTGGCCCAACACGTGAATTACTCAGGCTTGGGCTGACATCATATAAACCTCTTAATGAAATTATGCTCTATACACCTCTGTGGCCATGTAGTATTTTATGTAGCATTTTCACCTTGCCAATTAAAACATCCAGTCTTCACACTTGAGTCACCCAAGGTCATGTCCATGTAAACAGCCTTTTTTTTAATGCGATCTTTGCACCTTCAGTAAGCATGACACTCTCCCAATGCTTGAAATAAAATAGTAACAGCACCAAATGCCATACAAAGGGGAAGTGGCTTCTGGTGAACTGAATGTGGTAAACAGGCTCGTCAGGCAGCAGCTGAATTAAAAATTGTCTTTTGGTGGCAACATGGAGAGAAATGGAAAAAAAACCAAAACTCTTTGCTTTCATTTAATTTAGAGGTATGTTAATGTGTTTGGTTTTCACATTATATATAGTTTTTAAATTGTCATCAAAAATCTTCAAGCATGAACAGAAATACAATGATCATACTTACTCAGCCATCCAAACCGTGACCTATTTGTGTTTAGTGTATTTTGAGAAAATGAACAATATGCTTCCCACTTTTGTCTGCCCTGTAAGGCTTTGCTTTTGTTATTAAAGGCCTGCTACTAGAAAATGCTCCCATAATAGAAAACAAAACATCAATTTTTTGGTCAAGACAGAGCTTGACTGTCAGTAGAAGAATATATTTAAAGAGAGGTAAAGTGCATGAACTGGCTGGGATTGGAAGGAAGAATCATTCCACTGAAATTTCCCCAGTGCCTCATCTCCCCATTCACGTTACCTCTGTCCCTCAGTGATGTCACCCAGGTGTATGGCGGCAGAGGGCAAGAAGCATGTCCCACATGTGAGAGACCCTGAGATGGGACAGGGTGGTGAAGGTATCTCTTGTTAACAGGTAATGGTAAATTAATGCTCTCAGAGACACGCAATAGGCTTTCCACTAATGCACCAGGTAACTATAGAATAGCTAAAGCAATGGAAAATGGGAAGGACAAATACAAGTTCTGAATAAAAAGTTCTAGCGTTAGCAGGGAACTCTGAAAGGATTTGAAGAGGCATGGTTATTACAACCCCATAAACTCATGCTTCAGTGAATGGCAGGAAAAGAGACAGAACAAAATGCCCCAAATCCAAACCCTAAAACTGTATTCAATAATCTTCAACACAAAGACATGAACACCACCACAGAATTTATTTTTACTTTATTAACAAGGTGACTTACAATTTTTTTCAAGTAAAAAGGGTTTTTTCATTAAGAATAAAAATTAAAATATAACTCTGATATAGATTTTCATTTATTTACATGAAAACATATATACAGAATACAATCTTACAGCAAACCAACAACATGCCCTTTGTCCTGCAAATCTCAAAAGTAAAAACACCAATTTTTCCTTTTACACACCAAAACATTCACAAGATATGAATCAAATTTCAGTACAAACTGTTCAAACTGGAATGCAAAACAGTAAAAGGTCTTCTGACGCTCACTACTAGGTATCGTTTATGCTTCCAGGTATCATGCTGGCTCCCATTCTGAACAGATGAGATGATCCTTTTCTCTGTCATCTAAAAAGAAGTCTCCTATTCCCCGCCCTAAGGTGATTTTCAGCACACACTTGTCCCAGACCTTACTTTTTCTTCAGTGAGTCTCTCTGGCCCACGTGACAAGACCTCTGCTCTCTGGCTTGCTGACGTGACAAGACCTACAGACTCACTGGTACTGAATTCTAGCTGATGAAAAGACATGACAAGACGGGAAGACTACAGCTCAGGACATTGTTTGAGTCATCACTTATCATCTAAACTGAAGATGCTTTTGACTAAAACCCAAGGCAGCACCATGTGACAGAGTAAAATAAGCGGGTCAAAAGTAGCACAATTTGGTTTGTCTCCCATACTCTTATCTCTAGTGATAAAAGCTGTGATAACCAATCAACTTAAATATTCAATCAAGTTAAAGGAAATAGAGCCATTTCCAGAAAACCCTTGAACAGAAAATAAAGGATTAAGAGATCATTAAATTATAATAGTTGCCAAAACAGCTTTCCCTTGCTATTTACTTACTGCACCAGAGATATGGGTAGTGTGTGTCTTTCTCCAGGGAGTTCTTCTTTTCAAACTGCAGAGACCTTAGTTTCCTATTTTTCCCTTCAAAAAATTGCACACTTCATCACAGCTCTCTAACGACAGAATACAGTTCTTGGAGCCTAGATTCACCTGTTAATCAAAAAGCAACCGTGATGCTCGAACCACAACATAGACCTTCAACATCACAGTTTTAAGAGTTCTATATACAGAAGTAAATATAAATGGGTGTTCCTCTGAAGAAGTATGAAAACTCCTAGTGCTCCCGAAACAAAGGCAGAACAGCTCTTAGGAAGAGATGTTTGGTAGAAGATAAAAGGCAAATCTCAGAACTTGCCCAATACAACACTCAAAATGCTATGAGACAGATTAGGAAACGGATCCAATCTTCATAGGCTGATCACAATCAACCTTCTAGAGATTGTAGGAAGCGTCAGAGGTGGCAGTGTGAAAGGCTTTAGTCATTTCAACTTACTGAGGAACAAATAAAACACAGGAAATAATCTTTTGAATACGATCACAGAAGGTAAAGCTACCTAAGAGTGGAACAGCTCAAACACCATGTGAGTCAAACTTGGATCAAATGAACCTAATTTTAAAGGTGATGGATGTGTACTCTATACTATGCAACTTCATGGTAAAGGAAACTAGTATTTGTTTTTTCATTTTGTTTTGAAAAATCAAAGAAGTTCTATAATGCCAGATGTACCCTGCTCTTTTTAGGTTTACATTTTTGCAGATGGTGATATTTTCCCAACACACTACAAATTCGGTCAAGAAGTTAGGGGCTGGAACAAGCGCTGTTGGTTTTGGGGTGGCACTGAGCAGCAGCTGATTAAAGCTGAGGTGGCACCTATGCTTCTCATGTTATACACACTGTACAGAATGCAAGTGTCTGCTTGGCCAGGAAAGGGAAACCACTCTTCTCCGCCAGCTCCAGGAGGTAATGAGCAGTACAGTGTGTACAGAGGACAGGACGTTGGTCCCAAAGTATTATCAGAGAGACAGAGGAGCGATTGTAGCATCTGGGGACAGAGAGGGAAGGAGGCGTCATCTGTTGGAGTGTTTCAACCAACAAACTTTTGGCTCAGGGGCTGTGGTGGTTCCAGGGATATGGTGTAAAACCACCATTTCTTGCCAAGAGAACAGACCAACACGGTAAAATGTTCCTTGGAAATGATCCATAAAGCAGCTGGTGAGAGGTGAATCCTACAGAGAAATGGATACCACCTTAAAATTCTGTGGCCGAATTCCTCCTGATGTGAAGAAGTACAGCAACTATCATGAGAAGCCCCCAAACAATCCAAGTTCAGAAGGACATTGGCCACACTCAGAACAAAAGGTTTGCTCTAGTCCTAAACTATGTCTGGGCCTTGGAAGGGCTGGGAGATGGCCTGTGGATGACCTTCATTATGGAGCTGCGCCATCTACCTCGAGCTGCGGCGGTCCCCTCCTTCCAAAGCAGAGGCTTGTGAAGTGGTTGATCCGTATGGACAGAGACTGCAGACAGGGAGAGTTATGGGCATCTGGCCTCTCAGGAAGAGGACGCTCCCCCAGCAACGGCAGCCATGTCCCGTCCGGGGCTGCCCAGAGCAAGACCTCTTGGCTCCAGAGATACTCCGAAGATCTACGTACTCAATGTGGCATCTCTTCCTCTGTGCCATTCCTAGAAAGTCCACGACAAGGTGACATTCATTCTGGAAGTACACTGTCACATTCCTTCATTCCTGTTTCAAATGCAACAGTAGCTCAGCTTGAAAAGGCCACAGTGAGGGATCGTCAACAAGTCAGTGCAGGGAAAAATGCCAAAGATCTTGAAATGGATACTGCTTCCACTTGTCTGAGAGTTCAATGCCATAAGACTGAGGGCTTTAAGGTCAAAAAGTATGTGGCTGGGAAGGCAGGGTGGCAGAAACATGAGCTTAGGAAAGACCTGAGTGCAGGTGGAGCGTGACCCACCCCGGCACTGCCATCCTCACAGTGGTGCCGCTGGCACAGGTCCACACATGGCCTTCCATCAGAGGCCCCCGGGCAAATCCACTTGCCTAATGCTGAAAACTTAACTACTGAGATCGGCTACATGGGACATCATGAAGTCTCAATGGCAAAATTTTTGTTTTTCATCTGTAACAGTCACAGAACATTAGTAAAGGTTAGCATTAGTAATCACACTTTTCAAAATCTGACCGATAATCACACCTGAAAATGGAGCAGAAACAGGAACAGCTAATGAGCCACCACACAGTGTTACTGGGATTGGTGAGACTCTTATCAAAGAGAAGACCAAGGTAATGACTGCAACAGAGTAGCAGGCAGGCGTTTCAGCCTCTGCTTTGGCATCCACTTCTGGGCAAGCTGGAGGTGCCATTCCCTTGCCTGTACTGACAAAGACATTTGCACAAAGAGCACAGCAGAGCGGGTTGGCCCACTGCCTTTGGATGGTGGCACTGGATCACTCATGGACACAGATGGGTGAGAGGTTGGTACAAAAAAATCAGCCAGTTCCCAGACCACAGATCTCTCTGCAAATAACTTAGCTGACTTAATGAAAAATGCCCGAGAAATGTCATAAGCACCTTAAAGCCAACGTGAGCTGAAGAAAATAAAGAATAAGGAGTTAAAAGCTGCGATGACTTGCTTCTTTTTCACTTTCTTTTCCTCATTTTGGCCACTCTGGACTCTCCCCTCATGGCACGAGCAGGATGGAGGCAAAGGGGATGTGTGTTCACCTCTACACTCCTCAGTGTTCAAACCTGTCACCTCACAGGAATGAGGTCCAGGACAATTCAAAGGCATCCAAGGTCACAGAGTTAGTTATTAGCCATGCCAGGAGAGGACCCAGGACTGACACAGTGCTGGCTCCGATGCATCCTGTTGGGAACATACCGCCTCCTCACTGCTCCAGGCCCTGCGTGCGCCAGGGCAGAGCTGAACCAGGCGGTGCACCAGGTGGTGCACAAGGAGCTCCGCAGGAGACCTGCTGCAGTGGTCCTCTAAGCAGACACAGCTGGGCTAGAAAAAGCTTCTCTCAATCTTTTCCTCTTGCTCTCTTAAATTAAACTCTTCCTTCACTATACAACTCAGCATTTCCCAAGGGACCCAAGCAGTCACTCCTTGATCTGGTCACAATTATATCAGGACGTTAGAGATGTCTGAAGTTCTATGAAAGACAGCAAACAGAACTCTCTACAGACTCTAGATGTCCATCACTCCAGGAAAACTGTCTCACAGCGATAATACCTTGTGCTCCCTGAAAGGCACCTCTGACAGACCGTGCCCGTTAACCCTTCTTTTTACAACTACATCCTGAAACATCACCACAATTGTTTTGGAGAAATGAGTTGCTATCAAGATCAAACTGCGGTGACAACCATGTAGCCACAGGTGTATCATTATGAAAGAAGCATCTGGAAATGTGCCTGAGAGTGATTAAAGCAAAAACTACCAGCCAGGCATCCTCCTTGGTCACATCTGGAAAGACAGCAGCTGTGCCTTAGCTCTCGAAGAAATGTGGGCCTTAGTTTAGGAAACCTCCTTCCTAGGAGGCTGCCTGGTTTGGAGCAGGAGGAAGATGAGACTCGGCCCTACAAAGAAGCGCCTCAGTTTCCCGTAGGTTCCAACTCAGAACTTCACTTACACTCCACAGAGGCCGCTGCTGTGGGACTTGGGTGTGCGTTACAAACACGAAAATGTCAAACAGGCTGGCTGATGGCAGAGCCCTCTTGCCTCCTGCTTCTTGGTGATACTTAGTGTATGTGCTGTCTCACTATCCCAGCAGAACAAAAGCCTCCATCCTAAAAACCTTCCCAAGACAGTGCATCTCCAAGACTGGGCCACCTCCAAGAGGGAGTCAGTTGGCATACTGGGCATAGAAGGCCACTTTGACCCTCTCAATCTGATGGCATAGCTTGATGGCAGGTCCCAACTTCAGCTCCATGCACTCCTGCACCGTCGGAAGAGTCAGCAGCAGGAGTGCCTGGCCGTCAATGTCCTGCCGGGAGACAAAGCCATGTTAGAGCTGAGACGGCAGGCACTGAGGGATGCACTGGGAGGAGCAGCCTTCCTGGGCACTGCCCTCCTTTCCTCCACCTCTGCAGAGCACTGGCAGAGGCACCACCCTGGCCTGATGACTGCCTAATCTTTTGGTTGATACAATCCTTCTGCTAAGAGAATGCTGGCCACTCTGACATTCACACACTTAGGCTGGTGGGCATCTTCACAAGTTCTCTGCCAAGCTTATGGCCCCTTGCAGGGAGAATGCTCCTGCCCCCAGGCCCAGTCCTTCCCACCTTCTGCTAAAGAGGGCTTGCTACTCAAGAAAAAGCACTCTTTTCCTTGCCAGTGTCTCACATTGCAGCATTGACATGGGTGAGAAGACGCTGGAGGCAGATGCCAAATGCACAGGAACATTTTCCATTAGGAAAACACGGATGTTTGGACCCACATTCGGGCACACACCTGCATCACCTACATGACCCAGAGCAAGAGTCTGCGGTCACGGCCCTGTTCGGTCTTCTTTAGCCCTGCTGCTTCGCCACATGGGGGCCATGCACTGCAGATGTCACCAACTGTTCTACTACTTTCATGGCAGGATGAAGGGCACAAAGGCTCACCCAAAAGCTCTGAGTCACCCCACCAGACACCTTTGCCTCCATGCCAGCTTGCTTATACAGATGTCATTTGGGTTACTGAGTTCACCGGACATTCCCTCTTCCTATTCATGGAGACAGTCTTCATATTCCAGAGGAAATAACTGAGGCTCCCTGAGACTGCGGGCCCATAGCAAAGGCAGAGGTCAGCAGTGGAAGGAGAGCAGGGACTGAACTTGGCACGTTGATCTCTGCCACCTAGGGAAGCAGTGCGCCCAGGTCCGCCGTGATCTACAGAGACCTAACACTCATGCCCCTGCACACAGGCTTGGATCTCAGACATCAGGGATTAAAAATTTCACAGGTAGCTAATTTTCCTAAATTAATAGTTTATTGGGCTGCCTTGAAAATATCCTAAGGCAAAAAACCAAAATGGGTATAAATGTTAGCTTTGGGAAGCCTAACATCAGGAATCAGCCTAATTTATTGCATGATCCGTTTCAAAAGCCCCCTTGATGTGCTCCATGATCCCTAATAAGTACAGTAGCAAGAAACTTAGCATTAACTTAGAAATTATGAACACAAATGCAATGTATTATTTTTACATCACACAGGGCACTAGCTATGACACACGCAACACTAGGCCACATCTCCACCAAGACTCAAATCTGACCTCAAACTGCATGGTAAATGGACCAGTCTAGGATATGTGTGGAAAGTGATAAACAAACTTATAACTGTCAATTAATTTCTGGTGTTACATGTATATTACTCTCTTTCCTTTTTCTATATAGTGCTTTTATATGTTATTTTACTTTTTCTTTAAATGCTTCCTAGAAGGCTGACAGCAGTAAGGGGGACTTGAAAATACTGAGAAATAGTGCTCTTCTCAAGGTCATGAAGCAAACAATGGTCCCCTAGACTAGGTCTGTTAGCCTACTGCATTCATGGGAAAGTCCATGTTAGATCAGAACTGAACAGAAAGGTGCGGGCATAGGGACACAAAACCTGCAGGTATCAGAGGCTTCATAAAAATACCCTGTTAAGTAGGAAATGGGATGACAATTTAAAACTTAACCATTATTTCAATGAAGAGTTGAACTGAAATTTATTTTAGGAGAGGAAAACTTTCTGAGGGGGAAGTTAATGCCAGTAAGGCTAGCTGATCTAATTATGATCACATGGCTAGGTAGAGACAGCACTGAACCAGAATTGCAGTTTTCTGAGATTAAACTTTGGAGGGAAAATTGTAGTTCAGCTCTTAATGTCTACACTGAGTCATGATGCCCGTCCTTGGACATAGAGATTCATATATCATTGAAAATCAGCCCCCAGATGCTCATGGAACTCTCTAGACCATTTCAGGGAAGGTGGCCATCATAAGCATGCACCAGTTAAGTGGGGAGGGGTGTCACTCACTTCCTCAACAAGCATTGACTGAGCAGCAACTAAGTGCCAGGCATTTTGATGGCCTCTGTAGATATTACATTGAACAAAACAGACTCTATCCCTCCCTGCAGATTCCAGAAATCTCAAGGGAGGCAGACTAAGAAACAAACCCTCTAATAAATGGACATTAAAGTGTGCACATAGAGTTATAGGCTCAGCCAGGATGGGGAACCCAGCCAGTCTTCCACAGGTCAAGGAAGCCTTTGGAGATGAGGTGATGCTTAGACAGAGGGACCACGCAGAATGGCTAAGGGAGGATGGACCGTGGAACACAAGTAGCTCACGGGGGCACAAAATTCAAGGAAAGCAGGAGGCATTAAAGGTAAAACTGAGATGGCCTAGACTACCTTTATGGAACTGGGAACTTCTTCTGAGGAGTGTGATAAGAAGTCAGTCACATTATCAGACCTGGACATGTGGAAGCTACACCTGACCACATGTGGATGAATTAGAAGGCAGGGCGGGGAAGACAGGAGCGACTGAAGGTAAGGCCATTCATTAGGAGGAACCCGGCTGAGCCACTGAGAGACGAAATTTCACCGTATGAATCTGGGGGAACACCAGCATTCACTCTGCAGCACAGACGCTACAAATGGTGCCACCTTGGTCCTGGAGGGACGTGCTATCTGCCAGGTGAGCTGGCTGCACTTGCCTGGTGCTTCCTGCAGGTGCCACAGCCAGGCAGATGGGGACCCAAAGAAGCCCCTTCAGAGCTGTGCTTAGCCCCCAAGACTCCCCATTTTTAAGGGGGAATCTTACATGGGCAGAAACAAGGAATATGACAGCTCAACTGTATTAAGCTGCAAATACCCTCAAAATAAAACCTCGCCTCTAGTAGCAAGGGTGAATCTAAGGTCTTTGAATTGAATCCCCAACCAAACTGCAAGATGGCCCTCACGCTGCCTCTTCCAAGCCAAGCAGGGTGGTGCTGGTGGTGCAGACACGGCCATGTTTACAGAGCTTCCCAGGCCACGGAGTCTTCCCTGGACAGCCAAGGTGTTTATCCTGGGGGTGCTGCAGAGACAGAAACAACTGCAGAGAAACACCCGTTCCTTACCGGGAGCTTGACCCACATCAGTCAGCTATTCCTCCAACACCAGCCTCATGTCTTGTTGGGATAAATGCAGGATGGCGAGTTCCTCTAATAATTGTGCTGTCATTACTGGAGTGACTGCTACTGTCTAACCCTAAGCTCACTGAAAGGGTGAAGAGGGATTCTGAGGAATACAAGACGTTTGGCTTGCGTCTGGTATAGCATTCAGTCATTTCCCAAATGAACAGATGTCCTAAAATATGTCCGAAATAAAACTGGGTCTTGAGATTAAGTGCTGAAACTGCCACATTATTTTACAAAATTGGATAGAGAACTTGGTCTCTTTTCCTGGACACCTTTTGGGAATATGCTTTTTTGATCAGTGGCATCATTCATTACCCACCATGCACACCCGGACCTGCCCTTGTAGTCCACCTTCCACCTCGTGGCCACAGCTGCCACAGGGCCCTCCGCCCTAAGGCACAACTCTTCTGTTCTGCAAAGGCCCCCTCTGTCTGCTTTTGCTTAGCAGAAGAAGCCCCAGAGGCTTGCTGGAATCCATACCACCTCCTAAGGCCAGGTTCAATGCAACCTCGCCCAGCTTTCTCTGCTTATGCCCATATCCCCATGTGCACTGACAACCACTGCTTTCTTCCTTTATGTGCTGGGGCCAGCTGCTGATGTGTCTGTTGTCCCCGGGCACCTGTAAGCATTTAGGATCATGGGCCATCTTATTTATGAGTTTTCAGGTCTCTGCAGCCTAAGCAGTGAGGGAAAACTGCAGTTTTTACACAGAAAGCTACTTGGGCCAGATGAAACCAAATGAGAATGACGGTCAGCAGCTTCTAAATGGCATTCTCGGACCTTTATCAAACCAGAGTGCCCCCCTCCTGCCCTCACCCCAACACGTTTTCACTCATTGCTCCAAATAAGAAAGCCAGTAGGATCTTATGGTCTCTGCTCAGCCAGCAGCAGAGATGAAAAGCCTCAAGTTTATGAGCCATTGGTTTTGAGGCCACAGTCGATGGGGAGAGTCCACACTCCCTGGTGCAAATTTCAAGTGTGGGCAACATGGAATGGATGGAACTGAGTCCACAGCTTTGAACCTTCCCTCGAGAGCCAGTTTATATGTCTTGTGGGTTTTACAACGGCCCACATGGAAGCCCTTGACCACCTGGGACTAGCTGAACAGAGAGTGGGAACACAGAGTGGCATTTTGTCTGCAAGGAAATTCCTATTCACAGGAAGATACAGATGGCTGGGAGGGGTGGATTAA